AAAAAAAAAAAAAAGGTAAACAAACAAATCAAGAAGCATAAATAAACAGCAACTGGGCCAGCAAGGAGGAAGGTAAGGTGGCCCTCAGTGGCCCCCTGTGCCCAAATCAGCCTCTCCCTGCAGAACTCAGCCATCAGTAGCCAAGATGACAGCAGCTCCAAAGATGCCCACACTCTCGCCAAGTAACTTCATCTGGTTCCAGAACTCGACACGTCGAGTGTTGTGCCAATAGGAGACATTGCCATCAATGAGCAGCATGACCGGGGGCAACAACACAGCCAGGATCTGGGCAGCCAGGGTCACGTAGTAACCTGAGAGGAAGGCCAGGGCCAGGACCCCGTAAAGCACGAAGAACATCTGGACCATCAGCTCCCCTCCTGGAAGATGGTTCAGGTATGCCAGCCGGTCTTCCTTGCTGTGCTGCAGCGAGTAGGCCTAGAGACACAGCACCTTTTTGAGACTCCAGCAGATGAGGGCCTCCCTGAGGTGGTGCCCACAAATCAGCCCCTGTAAAGTGAGCCTCCAAGTCCCCTCTCAGGATACGGACCCTCTGAAAGTATGGACTGTCTCCCGCTCTGTTTATAGGGCCCCGGGAGACTGGTCTCTGCTCCCCTGGGAGCTTCTGAAAGAAGAAGTATGTCTCCACAGTCAGATGGAGACTCCCACTTTTGAATATACACACCATGGAAAGCCACATAGAGCTCTGCACATGGGATATGATTTCTGGTTCCTATGATGAGGTCTCGTGCTTGAAGCCCATCTGTGTCCTTAACTACACTGACCTTCCCAAACTCCAGGAAGGGCAACCTGACTATCCTACGTGGCCCCCATCAGCTCTAGGTGGTAGAGTTACAACCAGGGCTGAGTTGTCCCTCTCTCATCCTTTGGAAGCTGAAGCAATGAGAAAATCACATCTTATTTGCTGGACTCTCAGAATTAGGATTGAATGGTCAATTCAACTCATTATCTAGCTGGTGGCAATAATGTTGGAAGGACGGACCCTCAGCCAGGCATTTGGAGAGCCCTCAAGAACTCAGGAGCCACCAGAAATTACCTGCAAGGTCTTGTTCTACTCAACAGATAAGGATTCTGCCAGGCTTAAGCTCACATTTCACTCCCACACAAGTGCCTCCAATTAATAGAACCCCAACCTACCACACAAATGAGGTAGATGCCCAGGAACACCTGGCCAGTGGACTGCAGAGAACGGCTTCGGGGTTTCCGACGGTATAGCTCCCCGGCCCCACTGGCCAGCACCAGAAAGCCACCAATGATGGCAACTGTGCGCGAGTACATTCGGACCTAAGGCCAGGGGAAAATGGAGCCCCAGTCAAGAACTGTGATCGTTAAATTTCTCTTGGTTGTCAAGAACACAGAATGGATCCCTTCTACACATCCCGTTCTATCCGATGAGCCCTCTTACCTATTCCAAGTGTGGTGGACTTGGAGAGAGAAACTCTCTTTACAAGGCAGAAAATGAGAGCTGAGAGGGGATAAGAAAACTGGCCATGGTCCTACAGAAAGTGACAGAACCCAGATGCCCGTGTGGCCACCTCCTCCACCCCTAGTCTCCACCCCTGGGTTCTTGCCTCTATGTAGTACAGACTCTGTATCAACTAAAGCAAGAATAGCCGGGCAGTGGTGGCTCAACACCTTTAATCCCAGCACTTAGGAGACAGAGGCAGGCAGATCTCTGGGTGTGAGTTTGAGACCAGGGTGGTCTGCAGAGTGAGTTCCTGAACAGCCAGGGCTACACAGAGAAACCCTGTCTTGGAAACAGACAAACAAAAAACCAAAATAGACCCACTTTCCCATAGGTGTTCACACATCTGCCTCCCCTACTGGACTAACAGTCCAGTCCTTGAAGGCGGTGCCTCCGTACCACCTTACCTTCAGGTTTGCAGTGGCCAATACTGCTTCTGCATTTGCAAACACAAATTCTGCACTAATAATATCAATTACCTCTCCAAGGTCTCTTGCTTTATGAGTGTGGGGTTAATAAAGGGGTGGTTTAAAGGAGTCTGGGAATCAGGTAACTCTGAGTTACAGGTACTGTAATTCATTGTGGCATGAATTTGGAGAAAGTCCATTTCTTACCTCAGGACCTCCATTATAGGAGGAAGGTCTGTGTGGTCTCTATGGATCTGCCACTTCTGTGCTCGGTAATAACCGCTACAAAACTGCTAAAAACCTAGTGCCTCCGTCTTCCCAGGCTTCACATTAGGGAGGCACCACACGTGCCCACCAGGACTCTACAGCTCCTTCCCCATATCGAAATGTCTTCTAGAGTTTATGTGCTCACCTTTAGCCAGTCCCCGTAATGGACGTAGCCTCCGATGTAAGCGGCGTAGGTGCTAATGGCTAGCTGGAGCGCGGCGCCCAACGCAAACCAGCGCCGTTTCACTCCGAAGGACATGAAGCTAGCACACAACACAGCTGCTGCCATGTCGAAATACAGGTAAGGCACTGGGATGTCGGGCTTCCTGTGAATCGAATGTAGGGAGCAATGAGGACAGAATGAACGGTAAAGTGTCTAAGCTCCCGCGAGCTCCACTGATCTCCAGAAACTGGAGGCCCCTCTCACTGCTGGGGCCACCGCATCAGCTCTGGTCGTATAGTGGGACCAGAACATTTCCCAACCTGTCTGAGTACCAATCCCACCCAGTCCAAATGTCCCAACTTCTGGGCCCCAACTTCCCCCAACATCACCGCACCCCAGTTCCTGGGACAGGCCGTACCGCCCCCCACCGCATTCGACGGCTTCGTGGGCGCGCTCACCGACGCGCCTCGGCCCTTTCAGCGTACAACATGAGCTGGCTGAAGCAACCCCAAAAGGGGCAGCGCGTGAGCAGCACCGAACCCAGCTGCATGATGAGCTGCAGCATCCAGCGTCTCGAACCAATCTTCGAAGACATCTTGGGAAAGGGCAGTCCGCTATGGCCTCACCCGGGTCTGAGAGACCAGCACGGAGGATAATACGAGCAACTTCCGGTCCCTTACTGTTTTCTCTTCGTCGGGAAACAAAGCTTTTGCTCTCTAGTTCCGGGAGGAAAATGTGTTCTAAAAGAGGGCGTTCAGCCTTTCCGAACTCTGCCTGTAGAGAGAGCTCAGAGTTCCTCTTTGTACTTTCAAAGTGGGATATTAGCAAGGAACACAAGGTTGGATCACCAAAAATTTTGGATCGCAGCTTGACGTATGGAAGCAAACAACTCTAAATGTAACCAGACGTGGACTCTAACCTGAAAAACAATGCTGCGTCATCTAAACTGAGACTCATCTGTGAAATGGGGATAATGACATTCTTCTACCTCACCATTGCTGGAAAACCGAAATTGAACAAAGGTGGTCCTAGCACATAAGAAGGGTCCAATAAAAGGGTGTAATGTATCCACATAGGCCCCAGAGAGACGTCTTTGGTTTTGGAGTCCTCTTGGCTCTAAGTCACTTGTCTGGTCTTGATGTCTTTGTTTCCTGAGACAAGAGGGAGGCCTACACATTTATGACATCATACTCAGTCCATTTTTTCCAACTGCAATATTCCCACTCTACCCCAAACAACCATCAGCTTGACTTCAGCGCCCTTCCAGTGGTCTCCACCTCTCCTATTGTTACATACTCGCTAAACATTTTTCGGGAGGGGTTTGAGGGCTGATTTTATTGTTCACATGATTTCCTATATAGATCAGGATATCCTCCAATTTGTTATCCTCCTGTCTGCACCTCAAAGGTACAGAGATTGTGAACACGCTTCACCATGCCCGGCAGCTACTTTCCCTTTTAATCATGGTAGCAGAGGCAATTGTGCATTTGCAACTCTCTTATGAATAAAACACACAACACACACACAAGATTGTGAATTTCAGGAGTGCAACAACTATAAGCATGTAGTTTCTATTTATAGTCTCAGAGTTAAACATACATTCAGGAAATACTTGCTACACAAACAGATAAATGAACATGTGGTGTTGTCACTATGTCCTGTAGTTCACAATCAGTGTTCAGCAAATATCAATGAAAGGAGCAAAAGTTCTGGGCAGTATGTAGTTACCACCACAAAACTTCCCCATCTGTATTTTGAGGCACACATACCACACACCCTCTAACAGATTAATTCACCCTCTAATATTGAAGTTAAAACCCTGTAAGCACTCCAGTGCCAATGGGTCATTTATTTTGGATCGGATTTCAATTCCCTGGAAAGAATTCATGTCCAAACAACATTTCTAACAATGAGGATAAAAATCTTCCAACTACCTGGTGAGTGGAAGGTGGACAATAAAGCCTTTTCACTTTTTTCTTTTCTTCCTTTGTCTTTTAAGACAGGATTTTACTATGTAGCCTGGCTGGCCCATAACTTGCTATGAAGACAAGGCTGGCTTCCAGCTCACAGACATCTACCATCCTCTGCCTCCTGGGTGCTAGAATTAAAGTCACCATGGCCATCTCATGTTTCTTTTCTTCTTTGTTTAATCATTTACTTGTTGCCTTTTTGAGACAGAGTTTTTCCGTGTAACAGTCCTATCTGTCCTGGAACTCACTTTATAGACCAGGCTGGCCTTGAACTCACAGAAATCCACCTGCCTCTG